GATCATACCAGTATCATTCGATATGCAATTGACAGCGTACCAGACTATGTGCCGAAGACAAAGGCTCCAAGTGTTTGACAATACTCCGCCTGGGTGCATAAAGCAATCGCTGTGTTGGGGATGGGGTTCGCGGGTAACAATGGCCCTGTGGTTCTTCCTTGTGGTTTTGCTGTCAGACTGACGATGGCCAACCTTCTCAAACTTAGCGAACCACCCTCTCCTTCGAGCTTTGTCCCAGGTATCTGGCGCCGCTCTCCGGTCGACTCCGGTTGACCCAACCAGAACCAGACCGGCCCAGCCCAGCCCAGCCAGAAGAAACCCCCAGTGGCCACTGTGACATTGAGAAGACGAACCACTTCATGTCCACACCACGTCGGCAGTCAAATGCGTGCCTGGCTATGAAAGCGGGCCTTCAGAAGAGCCTCATGTGGAGTGCGATCCATTTAGTACTGCCGCTCCGAAAGAGACCCCATCCAGCCGCGTCCCACAGATCCGTTGATAAAAGAGCCTCAAGATTCGTCTCGATAAAAAAAGAAGACATCGCATCTCTTGTGCAACCTCATATCGTTGCCAGGCGGGGAGGAGTGATGGGACAGGTGAGCTTTCGTTGCGGACATAGCCGCCAGCAGCAACATAGCCAGCCACGAACTCTCTTGTTGGCTACGCTGATCGGGCTCCTCAGGCCTCTCTCCCTCCTCCCTCCAACATTCTGGATGCTTGCACACCCTAGCTTTGCCTGCCTCTCAAGACCAAAGGACTATTTTGCAATTACAAGACGAAACGGCCCAGGGGATACTCGCTGCTGTTGCCGAAGTTGTGAGTTGCGGTCGTCCTGCCAGCGCTGCACACGTTGACGGTCCATATTGACGAGCGCAAGTCTTCTCAGTCAGCTCAGTCAACACTGCTGGTTGATACAGAAGGTGGCAACGGTTACACAGCATAGGGATGGCATGGCATGTACCTCCGTACATACGGACTAGTATTCTGCTTTGCCACAGTTATTGAGTGAACGGCGTGTGCATGGGAAACGCCTGCAGCCAAGGGGGTTTTGGTGGCGCATCCACCATATGTACCTGGTACTTGAACAACTTGCTGTGGTGAAGGCGCGAGTCAGGCCAGTTATTTCCGCTTGCCTAGGTGGCCGGGGAAAATACACGACAGGAACAGACAAAAACGGAGTCGATATTGATGGCGCAAGTCGCCGACCTCGGACGAACGTCGGTACGGTCGTTTGTCATATTTTACGGCTTCCTGCTGCAGCAATGCCCTTGTGAATTGTCGAGCTACCGCGTGCAATTCTTTACTTTTGAGTTTACCGAGTCTCTCTAGCCGGGGTCTGGGTGTGCACTACATCGTGAGCGACCCAACGCCAACAGCCAGCAGGGTAGCCAAACCAGTTGAGCCAGTCGGCCCATGGATGAGATGGTGGCGTCCAGACCATGTTGACCATCCCGGCGCAAAGGGACTGAACTGTGTGCGTTTAGCTCGTCGATGATTGATGATTGACAACCTTAATACGTCGCTCATGTCGCCTTGGTTCTTCAACCCCCTTGCCTGAGATGGCGTCCCAATCATGGCTCCCCAAATCCATAGCGCCGAAATCAAGGTTTCTACCTAAACCGGTGGCCGACGTTCCTCTCTCAGACTGGAATTACATTTCAGCACCAGGCGGTGGACGTATTGCCATAGTACTAGCCAGACCTCCGTGCAAGCGTACATCCATTGCAACATGGGAGCTCGTAGAAGACGTCACTTGGTCAGGGAGGTCCGCCAAATAACCCTAGACTCTGGGCGATGCTAACAAGGGATGCTGGTCCGTCTAGCGCGAACTTTTGCAGGGTGTCAGATGTACGAGGTACATTTTGCGCACGCTTTGCATGAAAGGACAGGGAAGAAGAGCACCGCCTGTCACCGCTTGTAACGACTTGACGATGTCTGTTGCGCTGACTGGCCAAGTTGGTCACAGACAATCAATCAATCTTTTCTTTACCTACCTAGGGTATGTGCGTATGTACGGCATGGTGTACGTACATGGTACGTATTCATTATTATGTATTGCACCACGAGGTGCGGAGTACGAGAGACGACGAGTCTGAGTAACTGAAACGTCGTCAAATCCCAGGCTGTGTAATAAATAATATTTGGCACATCAGAGCCGGATTGCCTTCGGCTCGCTATATCAAATAGGCGATCTGGGTCTCTGTTGAGAAAGTTCCTAACTTGAAATGAAAGAACATGTCAACAATCGTACGCAAAGAGACGTTCTAGGCCACCAGACTCCAAATAGAGGTGCGTCCAACTTGACTGTTTGATGTCTACGTCAAGCTTGCCTAGCAAGTTCCGTACCTAATCCCACCCTTCTTCCCCGAGGCAAAAGGGAGGGGCTACGGAATATTGAACGATGGGCACAGTAGATCATCAGACTCGAGACCGCAGACTCGAGACCGCAGAGAGAGAGACGGTTTTGCTACTGGAATTCCATTTTCCCATTAGGAGAAACACTCGTCCCGTCACCGCCACAATCTAGGATAAATAGCGGTGACACCGACGATCGTACTGTCACCTCGAAGCGTTCTGCCAGTCGAATCCTAGTATTGTTTAGTGTCAATCATGTATGACGACTGTCCGTTCCTTGAGCGCAGTCTTCACACGCAATTACGTCGAACTCGAGGTCATAGACAGTGGTAACGAGTCGTGTCTGTTGTACCAAGCTCCTCCCACGGGAGGAACCTGGCCGAAGATACCGAGAGTTTGGTGAAGGCTTACCGCCACAGGAAAAATGACCTGCATGATTCCATACCAGTCGGGGAGTACTCGTCCAATTTCTTTGTGCGAGAATGACTGTGCGAGGATCTGATTATGTACCTGGTACAACGGCATTCACTGACTGGCATTGGCATGGCATGGCATTGGGTTATCATAAACACCACTCGTTTCTTTCACAGGCTGGGAGGTTGACACGCGTCCAAACCCGAGCTTAGGTTGTTTTCTGGGTTTGACGCCCTCCTCCAGCAAGAAGGTTTTTTCTTAATTCACCTTGGCACACCAAATGCACCAACGCACCAATGCAAATACGGGCTCAAGGGTGGTGGTTGGCTCAGGTGAGCGTAACTTGGCACAGGTTGCGAGCCCGAGAACACATGTGCAGTTCATACCGCAGACTAGTAGTATTCCGGACGTGCACCACCATCGGGCTCACTAGTTGGTTTTGCAATGCCCTTCCGGCCTATAGTTTGGTATAAGGTCGTGCAGTCTGGGCGCTCGCTCCGGTAGCCGGACGGAACCGACGGACATAGGGTCGTCCGGAATAATCTCACCCTACTTTTTCGGCCATATTGTCGTTTCACAGCCGCGCGATACAATTTGCCACCACTTGAAAAAGTGTGTGTAGCTGTTCCCCGGCCCGGCAAGACTCAGGTCTTTGGATCATCGAGGTCACGGGTGGGTGACAGAATTTCATCGTATCCGTCATGCTGCCGGTTGCCGGCCGTGGGCATATCGCCGCCGTCTGTACGCTTAAGCATTACTGGCCTGCCAGGCAGGGAGGTTCTGTCGTAACGGCGAGCACGACTTCATAACCGAGTTGGTGATTTGGGTGAGGCACTGCCTCTTGCCAAGGGTAGACGGCTCGCTAATGGCGAAGTTGCTTAAATCGAAACCTTGGATCGGATTGTTGAGTGACGGGGGCGAGCAATGACACGAGATGATGATCAAGTGACGATTAAGGTAAGGACGTTTGTTCGTATGCAGAGGACAAGATGCCGCCATGTATAGCCTCGGGTGAAGGCTTCGAGATGGAAGCACATGAGGCTCAGACTGCATCAACTGCAGTTCCCTTCCGTATATTGTTTGACAAACGTCTGTTTCCTATGTCACGTCTGTCAATAGTAAGCCTAGTTAGTTGATCATAGGGCAAGACTATGGAGATGGCTGTAGACTCTGCAACTCCTTCTGTGGAGTCGGTGGGTTGTTGAAACTCGTAGTGGAACCGATTTGTGAGTATTCAGGACCACAACGCACATGACGGCGAGATGGTAGTAGTTTGTCATGTTGGAGGTCTTTGTTGCTCAGGATGGAGATGCGGATTCCTGTGGCCACTATGGAGTCTGTGGGCGACTTTGTAAAGCTGGACGTCATGGTTTTGCATCGACGACAATTGTGAAGCCGCGTTGGAAAGGAGTCGGACAGACATATTTAGAGTGAAGTCTGAATTGGTGTATTTGATACTATGTCGTGACTGGAGACTCTAGCGCGTGATTGCAATCTTCACCAGACATTCCAGGCACTTGAATTCATGGCGATGAGAACGCGTAATTCCTTCCATGGCTACGAGGAACTTTAATTTTATGCTGGTGGTGTTCCGGCGCCTGACATGGCATTGCCGCGACTGTGATTTAGGAAGATGCTGCTCGGGGAGTGCATGTTGCTTCTACAGGGTAGCTATGTTTTGGTATTGGTATTTTTGTCGGCGGAGAGGTTTAAGCAACTACGAATGCTTTCTGTGCGATGGTTGACGTGACGGTCGCGATGGACTGCTCCTCTTGGAGCTTGGTACCTTTGAATAGTTTTATGTCGTCTGTTGTTTCTGGCCTGTTTCTCCACGGGGACAATGCAGCCGGTCGTGCGTGATTGACCTGGAGAGCACTTTAGTTCGTCAAACAAGGTTGTTACATAATGTCTGCACAGAGAATCAAGGCTGGCACAATCGAACGCAAAACTCATTGAGTCCAGTTCCAGAAAAGAGACACTCCAACTTATATGTTACTGATTAAATCATCGAATCAAGGTGGTAACCAGTTAGCATGTGCTGTACATTTATCAATACGCCTCTAGGGTAGTGAAAATGGTCATCGCTGACTCAGCATGCACACTGGATTGGCATGGCTGCATCCAATCAAGTGGCCTCTGGGCGAGTAGCATGCCAAATTTTGTAGCCTTGGTTGAACAGGGCATTCATTACTCGACGTCCATTGTCATCTCCATCTAATTTTCCTTACAAAATGGCCAGCTCCAGTGCTTTGCGGCCACCTGTCGGCTGCTTATCACGAATTGGCTCGTTTTCTGCCTCAACCCGGGCGGCTACGTTCTCGACAACGGCTCGGCAATGCAAGCGCAAGACGAAAGACAACAACAAGAATCGAGGCGTCAGCAGCCTGTATGGATCAGGGCCTCGAGAACACCTTTCCATGTCTGACATACCTCTACCTAAGCCGCGAGACTTCAAACCAAAAGTAGCGGTTGATGAGAACCACGGCCTCTGGGGTTTCTTCCCGGAGACCGGAAAGGCGCTGTGGTCGCCCAAGGAAACCGAGGAGCACGGAAGGGCATGGACAGTGGAAGAGCTTCGAAAGAAGTCGTGGGAAGATTTACATTCTCTTTGGTGGGTGTGCTGCAAGGAGAGGAACATGCTTGCGACGTCCAAGGCGGAGCTGGCAAGGGGCAAGTTTGGATTTGGTGACCGGGAAATTGAGGCACGAGACGAAGAGGTATGTTATTGTCTGGGAGTTTTGACTTTTTTTTTTGCTGTTGAATTCTATCCCTGGATACTCTGATTTGTTCGAGTCGTGGACTAATAGCCGTCTTCTCTATGCAGGTCATGAAAACCATGCGAGCCATCAAACATGCCCTGACGGAACGATATTACACTTGGCAGGATGCCGTTGATGTGGCCATGTCAGACCCCGAGATTGACATGCACGCCGAGGACGGCCAGGTTTACAAGCCCTCGGCGTATGAGGAAGAGGTTGCTGCCGAGGAGGCCTGGGCGACGGAGAAGGGTGTAGAACAGGAGAGCGTCAAGGCCGAGAAGGAACTTAGTCGGTGAAGGAGCAAGACGTTGCAGTGATGTCGAGACACTGGAATTCCGGGCAAAGTGGTAATTTTGGCGGGTAGGTAGCCTGGAGCTTGCCTGGTCGCGTGTACATTTAGAAAGACCTGTAAAATAAGATATACCGGGAATCGAAGACACCATGTTGTCTTACACCGCGGGCTGGATGGTGGTGGCCTGAGTGCTCTGCGTGCTGAGTGTGACGCTTCATGGTACAGCCTCAATGGGAGTACGGAGCACAGAGCACAACGTATTGCACGTCAGATGGTGAAGGTTAATATCTTCGGGAGCCTGCGTACGGGCCCAACTGCCTGGGTACTAGGTAGTTGTGCTATGACTGCATGTGTACGTAAATACTACTAGTTATTAGTACTATTACTACTTGTCTTCATCCTCACATCGGACTTTGGCCAATTTGCCAGCGCTCGGTGGCCCAGGGTTATGACACGTCAAGCCGCAATTAATTTTCCGCCCATCACCCATCACCGCTCTTTATTACGGATGGATCCCAGACGAGATTGAACAGACGAGGACCGCTTGTCTGGATGGCATGGCAATCAATCAATGGCTTGAATTTCCCCACACCTCACCGACGCTTGGTTTCGCTCTCTCCTCGCCAAACCCCGCCGCTTGCAACCCCTCCACCCAGATCCAACAAAACAAAGCCAGCTCCTTTCAGCTTTCATTATCACCACGGCTTCCAGACCAGAGACGAAAAAGAGCAGAAAACTACGCAGCGGATACTCAGACCATCGCCATGGATGAGATTGCAAAGGAGTACGATGTCATTGTGCTGGGCACTGGTGAGTTTTGAAGCTTGACGTAGTAGAGTCCCACGTGTGTTTCGGCAGTTGCTGTCGATCTGCAGGGAGCTTCGTGCCTTGTCTGGCTGAGCAGTCCAACTGACCTTCTTGCTAGGCTTGACCGAATGCATTCTCTCTGGGTAAGGCAGATATGTTTGCGGACTATTCGGGAGTGGACAGAAGCGTAAACTGACCAAGCTGCTGTTCTTGTTAGTGTGCTGAGCGTCAAGGGCAAGAAGGTCCTGCATATTGACCGCAATGACCACTATGGCGGGTATGTTTGAAGACCACTGGCAAACAACACACAAGTAAAGTGCTAAGCAATCTTTGTCTATAGTGAAGCCGCGTCGGTGAACCTCGAGACGGTACACACTCTCCCCAATTCACTTGGTGCCGTCGCCCCTGATTGTTTCGTCATCTGACAGTGTACATCACATATAGCTCTTCAAGAAGTATGGAAACTTTCGGGCTGGCGAGGAGCCGTGGACGAAATACGGCCGACTCAACGACTGGAATATTGACCTTGTCCCCAAGTTCCTCATGTCCTCTGGAGAGTTGACCAACATTCTCGTCTCCACTGATGTTACCCGGTATCTCGAGTTCAAGCAGGTTGCCGGCAGCTACGTTCAGCAAGGTGCTGCCAACAAAGCCACTGTTGCCAAGGTACCCTCTGATGCTGGCGAAGCTCTCAAGTCCCCTCTCATGGGTATCTTTGAAAAGCGACGCATGAAGTCCTTCATTGAGTGGGTTGGCACCTTCGATCTCAAGGACCCGGCTACTCACAAGGGTGTGTATTCGCACTTCCATCAAATATTGATGCCCAGTGGCATACATATGCTAACATGCCTGTAGGATTGGACTTCAATACCTGCACTATGAAGGAGGTCTATGATAAGTTCGGTCTCGAGGCTACCACCAAGGATTTCATCGGACACGCCATGGCTTTGTACCTTACCGACGACTACATCACCGCCAAGGGACAAGCGCCCGAGGCTATTGAGCGAATTCGTCTGTATGGTAACTCCGTTGCCAGATACGGAAAGTCTCCTTATATTTACCCCCTCTACGGTCTCGGCGAACTGCCTCAGGGCTTCGCTCGCCTCTCGGCCATCTACGGTGGCACTTACATGCTCAACACCAATGTGGACGAGCTGCTCTACGATGGCGACAAGGCTTCTGGTATCAAGGCTACCATGAAGACTGGTGCCGAGGATATGAAGTTTGAGACCAAGGCCAAGATGATTCTCGGTGACCCATCCTACTTCCCCAACAAGACCAAGATTGCTGGCCACGTGCTGCGAGCTATCTGCATTCTCAACCACCCCTTGGCCGGAACCAACGACAGCGACTCGGCTCAGTTGATTATTCCCCAGTCCCAAGTTGGCCGCAAGAATGGTAAGGCCTTTCTCCCAAGCAACGCACAATAAGTTGAAAAGGCCACTAACAAATATCCTGCAGACATCTACATTGCTTGCGTATCATCGGCCCACAATGTTTGCCCCAAGGGCTACTGGATCGCCATCGTTTCTACCATTGCCGAGACATCTGCCAACCACCACCTCGAGCTGCAGCCCGGTCTAGACCGCCTGGGCAAGATTGAAGAGCAATTCATGGTAAGTGCCTCTTAATTTTACCCTTGAGCCTGTTTTTCCTGCTCCCCCCCGGTCCATACCCTGCGAGCTTTTTGCGTAATCTCGCCAAAGAAATGAAACTATTACCGTGATGTCTTTTTTATTTTATTTTTTTTGCCGCTAACGAGTAATGTCCCAGGGCCCGCCGATCCCCATTTATGAACCCCTTGAAGATGGCAAGAAGGACAACCTATTCATCTCCAAGAGCTATGATGCAACTAGCCACTTTGAGACGACAACCGACGACGTCAAGGACATTTATCGCCGCTGCGCCGGCGAGGAGCTCAAGGTTGAGGGCCTGAGAGAGGGCATCACTGTCGCTGAAGAGTAATTCAGATTTACCGAAATAAACAGATTCAGAAGATGGTAGTTTAGGCAGGGCAGGATGTTGTTTTTTAGAGCTACGTATGGTAGAGGATCGCGTTGTCTGGGTAACATCTGTTCTTTTTATGCAAAATGTGCTTGAAATAGCGGCAAATAAATATGTTTCTCTTCATCTTTTTGTTTTCTCTTTCAAAATTGGCTACATTGACGAGATTTGTTATTTCGGGCAAAAGAATGGCAAAGCCAAGAAAATGGGCATACGACGCATTGTAGTGGATGTTCGCGTGACCTGGTGCCCGCGACTATTGAGCGCATCTGAACACGAAATTATGCGCTTCATATTATGCTTTGAACCGAGCTAGAGTGTGTGCGCGTGGAACCCAGTCATATCGTCATGTATATGCCATCTCTACACTATCTGGTGGAAAGCAACCTTTTCGATTGATTTCCGCGTGCGCTCTACACAGCGTCACCACAGGCGCATCGTTTCCCACTTCTTCATTTTAGTATACCCTTCAACTGGGCCAATTCCAATCCGACAAAAAAAAAATACGCCCAACTCCGGAGCAGACATTGATTATAGTCTGAAAATCAAGTATCAGCAAACAAGGAACAAGAAATTAAACATTTCTGCCCATGTCCCCGTTTTTGGTTTGAAATTTATCGTCGACCAGTCTTGCCAATGCCACGCTTGCCAGAGAACTAAAAAAAAAAAAGTCAGATGATTTTTCTGTAAATTGAAAAGCAGGAAAGAATGAGAGCCACGACTTACGAGATGCTTTTCTAGAGAAACGGTAGTGTGTCTGTCGGCTTCGCCCTGTCGAGCCATCCTGTTCATTCTCTTCTGGTTGAGCTTGGCGATTTTCTCGGCCTTTGACCTCGTTAGTTCGTCCTGGACACCGTCCTCGCGACGGTTGGTGGTGGGCGCTCTGCTCATGGAGCGAGCACGAGAGCGCAGGCGATCGCGGGGCTTGGAATCGACATCCATGGAGTCGGCGTCCTCGGTGCCCAGGCGGCTGCGAGACATGGAGCGTCCCCGGCGGACCTCCTTGGGCTGTGCGCGGTCGGCGAGATTTCTGGTGTCGACGCCCAGCTGATCGAGGGCGTCTTCAAGCTGGGAGAAGGACTTCTTGGTCTTGCTGCGGGGGATAATGGCCTGGTTCTTGAGACGCTTCTTCATGCGGGCTTCGTTGCGGATGAGCTGCTGCTTCTCGCGGATGAGCTCGGCTTTTCTCAGGACCTCGGCCTCTTCGTCGTCGTCAATCTCGTCGTCGGAATCGTAGTAGCCTTCCTGCTCGAGCTTCTCTTCTTCCTCTTCCAGAGCGGCAAGCTTGGCTTCAATGTCAGGATCAATGAAGTCGTAGACGTTCTTGCCGTCAAAGATCTCTGGGATCTTGTCGTACTTCCACTCGGGATTCTCAAGGAGGTAGTCTGCGCGCATGTCGACGTTGAAGACACCGGCACCGCCGTTCTCGGCCTCGACGTCTCTGGCCAGCTTGCGGCGCTCCGGATCCCCCTTGTCATACTTCTTCAAGTTCTTGATTCCTTCGGGGATAAACGTCTCCAGAGACTGGCCACCCATGGGTTGGGCAACGTGAATACGGGACATGACATCGGCCAGACGACCGCCAATGTTTCCACTGTTGTTTGTCCCGGCCTTCAACTTTTGGTTGACTCGCTCGGCAATGAGGCGCTCACAGGCGGCGTTCTTGACTTCCTGCACTCCTTCCTGGGTGTTGCAAGAAAGCTGGAGCATCTCAATCTCTCCAGCTTTCATCAGGCCTTGCAGCTCCTCCTGCAGTTCGGGGCTGAGATCCTCAGGTCGAGTGACGTCGATCTTGTTCACGACGAGGAAGACCAGCTTGTTGGAGAAGAGAGGCTTGATGCTCTTGAACAGCTGAATCTGTGCCTGGACAGTGTAGCCACACTGCTCGGACAGATCCATAAAGTATAGGATGGCGGATCGCAGATGTGCAATGGCAGTAATACTCTGCATTTCAATGGTGTTCATCTCTTCTAGGGGATGGTCCAAGATACCAGGAGTGTCGATAGCCTGGAACCTCAGATATTTGTAATCAAAGTGTCCCACAAACAAACTCTTGGTCGTGAAGGCATAGGGCTGCACGTCAACGTCGGCACGAGTAATGCTCTTCAAGAAGCTGGACTTGCCCACATTGGGATAACCGCAAATGAGCAGAGTTCGAGTATTAGGGTCGATGGAAGGCAGACGGCCAAGATGCTGTCGGACCTGATCGAGGTACAGGAGCGGATCCTTGAGGCGCTTGCAGATGGTGGCCATGCGACCAAGCGCGGCCCTCTTGAGCTGCTTGCACTGGAAGAGAGACTGGCCATACTTGAGCAGACGGACGTAGTCTCTGGAAATGGTCTCGATCAAGTGCTTGGCGGTGGAGAGCTGACCGAGCGCAATGCGGAAGTGGTCGGCATCGTAGAGCGTGTTGAGCAGATCCTTGTGGAACGGATGGATATCTTGCAATCGCGGGAAACTCTCGAGGATGGCGCCGAACTTTTCAGAGAATGTTTCCTGGGAGAACTTGACCTTTCGGGTGTAGAAGGCTGATTCGCACTGTCAGTGATAAACTAGTGATTGATGGATGGATGGTTGCGCGAAAAGCCATGGCTAGCCGGCCAGAGTCCTTCCTCACCTCGAATTCTGCTGATCTTGAAACCCGCACGAATCTGAGTCGGCAGTTTTCGCTGAGTTCGACTCAACACAATGTCTAAAAACTCCTGCTGGGTCGGAACTGGGGGAATATCCTTCCACGTCGTCTTCATCTTGGGCAATCGGAGACTCTCGAGAGCGACTGCTTGTGTTGTAGAAAAGTCTCTGGACTCGATGGTGGTCGAGTAGTACTCAGGATGGCAGATGCAAACCACCCCATATGCAAGGCGGTCAAGCAATTTTTTTTCTTCGCACACAAGTGGGTGGAGTCCCGGCGAAAAAGGGTCTATCGATAAGATTGCACCAGTGGGAGGGGAAAAGTTCCGCGCTGCGAAAATTTGGCGGTGGGTATTTCACTGACACCAGTTCAGAGAAGGTTCCAATCGTGACTTATTAGCGCTCTGCCCCGCGGCGACGCACCCCACCAAAAAATAAAAGGGAATTCTTGGGTTTGGGCAGTCATTCAATAGACTCGTAAACGTAAATTCTTTCATTCTCTTTCTCCTTGGCATATGCCTAAACCATAAACCATTTCTAATTTTACAACCATCCCTTCTTCCTTTTCCAGACGGCTGTCTCGTCATACCGCATTGAGCTGGCCCGACTTAGGAGTCTGTTCCTGAACCCACTAACTACTTGTCTCTTTCTCAACCACAAAACCAATATGTCTGGCCAACTTGCGTCCTACAAGCTGGAGTTCCTCAAGGCAGCCATCGACGGCGGCGTCCTCAAGTTCGGAAGCTTCGAGCTCAAGTCCAAGAGAATATCACCTTACTTCTTTAATGCTGGCGAATTCCACACTGCTCGTCTCGCCGGTGCTATTTCGTCCGCCTTTGCCAAAACTATTATTGACGCTCAGCAAAATGCCGGCTTAGACTTTGACATTGTCTTTGGCCCCGCATACAAGGGGATTCCCCTCTGCTCTGCCATTACCATTAAGCTTGGTGAGCTTTCCTCCAAAAACTTGGACACGGTCTCCTACTCCTTCGACAGAAAAGAAGCCAAGGACCATGGCGAAGGCGGCAACATTGTCGGCGCCCCTCTCAAGGGCAAGAAAATTCTCATTGTTGATGATGTCATTACTGCTGGTACTGCAAAGAGAGAAGCCATCGATAAGATTAGAAAGGAGGGTGGTATTGTCGCAGGCATCGTTGTTGCCCTCGACCGCAAGGAGAAGCTGCCTGCCGCAGATGGCGACGACTCCAAGCCTGGACCTAGCGCTATTGGCGAGCTGAGAAAGGAGTATGGTATTCCGATATTTGCTATACTCACTTTGGATGATATTATCGCGGGTATGAGAAGCTTTGCTTCTGAAGACGACATCAAGCGGACCGAGGAGTACCGCCAGAAGTATAAGGCTACCGATTAGATCAAGAAATCGTGGCTATACGTGGATGTCCGGGAGCTAAAAAAAAGTTCAAAAAAAAAAACAAAAAAAACGAGGAGATTGGACATGTGATGGCATTTTATGCGGGTGTGTAAGTGCAAGAAGGGATGAACGGCACTTCACCAACCTACCGTACTTGTTATCTAGATCCATTCGCTTCAAGTTGATTATGGATACCTCGGTAATTACGTTTCGTTTGTTCTGAAAACGTCACTAAGCTTTGTTTGACACGTAGATTTCAGTCTCTGGCAAAGCCTGGTTGCAGTTGAGATAATCAAGGATCGCATGGCAGGAATGAATTCAGCATCACCCTAAGGCCGGTCAATGAACGTTATAAAATGTTTGAATTCGATATATAGCAGAGCATTTCCACTCTTTGAACGTATGTTATGTCTACGGGCTAGCGCGGCTTTGAGTCTTGATCCAAACGAAAAAGAGCTTTGGGACCTGGAAGCTCGAATACCTGCGACCAACAGAACATTCAGAACTAGCATATTAAAGAATACAAGTCTCCTAGAACTCACCATGTTGTACAATCCGGGGCCAGCAAGGCTTAGTTGACCTTCTCCAGCTTTCCGGAAACCGACGCGAGTAAAGAAGCCAGTGAGGGACTAGAAGCATGAGTAAGTTACTATGTGAAGCTGATACAAAGGGCCTACTATGCTGACCTCGTTGCAAACGAGAGCGATACGATTGGCCACACCAGATTCGTTCATCATCTGAATATAGGCCTTCATGGCGGCTTTGCCTATCCCGATACCTTGAACCTCGGGGCATACTGAGAAGGAGTGGAGACATATCGTTCTACCTGATGTTTGGTGACCTAGATTTGAGCTTTGAGAGGCTGCTGAGTCTCTCCAATTGGGAGGACACTGTACATCATCATCCGTTACGACGGGATGCCTGCCCAACGTGGCAATGATATGAGCAAACATGACTCGTTTGGACCCGTCTTGCCTGCCAGTCTCGACCGGGCGAGCATGAGGCATTGTTTGAATCCACCAGTCTTCCGCATCGCGCGGTCGATAGGTGTTGAACAAGCCCACGCAGAGGCTTCCGCATTTCCGGAGGCGGTATTCGATCTGGATCATGTTAAATAGAGACCAAGAATAAGAGTATTCGCTAGAAAGCAAGAGCAGGGCCTGTCAGTACCTGTTCCCTGTTGGAAGGCCGGAGTTGATCTGGCATTGTAGCATTCTCGAGAGTTTCGCATGCGTCTATATCGGTAGGTGAAAGAGGAGAAAGCATGGGGGCCCAGTGGAAAGGAATGACTTTTTTGCGCAGTTCTTCAGGAGACTTCTGCCTCAATATCCGACTCTGGGTCATTGTCCGTTGAATTTCAACCAGTTCTTCATCATCCTCATCAGAATCTCCGATAGCACAGTCTGGTGGAGTTTCGGGACGAACCCCAGGTCCGTATTTGGGTTCGATGTTCGTATGAGCCGCCTCTTCTGCTCGTGTTTTATCGTTATTGGATCTTAGTGTTGAATCTTGATCCATAATGCTTACTACATTATAATGTAGCTCGTAGAACGACCAGACGAACTGACAAAACCAGTACCTGATTTGGGGATGCGTCGAAACAGCACTTGATGAAAGGTCCAATGGAAGGGAAGTATAGTTATTGTCGGTGAACAGGCAGCAAGCAAATGCGCCCAGAATGATGCTACAGTAAGTGCAAACAATAAGAAGCGGTTGGATTGGATAATTATTGTCAGGAGACTGGTATCATATGACTGAGTCGAGAGGTTTGGAAGTCGTGGGAAATAAAGGGAAAGTCAATAGCGCTGGCATATAGATCTGAAGGATGAACTTGAGCTGCCAGCCCAATAACTGCAGCCTCGGCAGTGGCCAGGTGGTGTCACACTTGTCTACCTTGTCGACTGTCGACGGCGCACTTGACCAGGTGATTGATGGCTAATCGAAGTGGTGGTGCGGAGCGACCGTTGGAGAGACGAGTCGGAAGGTCAAGAACGAATCCCTTCACGTCGAGAGCGAATGAGGTAGCCAGGAGGCCCAATGCAACCTGGTTGCGCCACGTGAGAATGGGTAAAGCTGGCCAGGGACGGGGACCGAGTATGAGTAACGGAGCTACATGTCAATTGTTTGGATCATGTCTACGGAGTACGGAGTACTACCTAAATCATCAATGCAAAGGCTAGATGAAGCCTTGTCGCTCTTTTCGCAGCCGTCGCAGAGATCCTCATCGGCCGTCCTGGCCACCAGTCTACCAGTGCATGTGTGGCTGGCCGATTTCTTTCCCTCCAATGGACCAATAATGTATATTCCAGCTGCATGCAATGGTCGCAGTTGTCTCAACTTCCATTGAAGCCAGGGACCAAGAAAGCCATACCCGATCCTCAGCCCACTTTTTGCTGCGGCTTGACCTTTGTTGAATGATGCAAGTGAACAAGATGGGAAACGGCAACCGTTCCAGTTTGCTATCGGCACCTCTCTCTGACCTTCAGTAGTACCTATACCTGGTTACCTTGGACTTGCACGTTGGCCGCGCATCGAGTTTGCTTTGCGCCTCCCTGCCATGGTTTGCGTTGCGAGGGATTGGCAATCAGACAAATGCCCATGTATCTATCAGTGAATGGAAAGCAGTCTAGAGAGGGCCAGGACCATATGTGAGTCATTGGCCAATGCAATGGAGATGCCACCGCTGATGGCTTAATGATATGGCGAAATCCAACGTCAGACCGCTTCAAAACCGGCAACCTTGTGCCAACGATGCGTCTTGGTGGTAGTAGGCGAGAAAGTCGAACATGAAGTCTTGCGTATGCCGCTGGCGCCTGGACGACAACCGCATTCGGGGTCATGGAGCCAAACCCCCGACATCTCAGTTAAAGTCTGGTTTGTTTGAAGGCAGCGTTCGCACTTGTGCAGCCTGTCTTGACTCACCTTCCGGGGCCACCTGTCAAATGTAGATTAGGAGGGCTTCGTGCGATGCTCGTACCAGACACAATACATACACGTCACCCTCCATATTGTTCCGCAACTTTCAGCCAACTGTATCCCTCCATGTGTGAGTAAAGAAGTCAAAGAAAAGGAAAAAAAAAAAAAAAGTGGGCAGGCATATGAAACAGAAAGAGCATTTATACGGAAGAGGGAACATGATAGATCCCAACTTGTCATCTGCAGGCAATTTGGGTTGTTTAGGTCGCATGCATCACATCGCATCGCGCGTCGCATTGCATCGGGTGTCCGCCATTCATCGCGGACTCTGTAGCTTTATGCCTACCCTACCTAGTAACGCAGGTAGTCGGTCAATGGCAACTTCGGGTGGCAAAAACATGTAGGCAGAAAAGGCGCAGTCGGCACTCCAATTCGGGGAACAAGGCCAACTTGAATTTTCTCGTTGCGCTGACTGAATGCACACGACCACGAAGACGTGATGAAGCACCAGACCGCTGTACTCCGTAACTTACTCTGTGCCCTGTTATAGGCAGGCAGGAAAGAAGGCAGGCAGGAAAGAAGGCAGGTAGTGAGCTCCTTCCACAGATCCACAGATGCTCGCTGCCTCTTCCAAGTCCTCCAAGTCCTCCAAGTCCTCCTCCAACTCCACAAGCCCCGCTTCATTCCGTCTTTGTCTGCAGCCTTCCATCCAAGAGGCTATCAACTGAACTGCTCGTCCGTCTGCAACTGCCCTATCTCAGACTCAGAATCCTTCCCACACACATCACCAGTCGCCGCAGCCCTAGCCGGAGCATTTGCCTTGCTCTCCTCTACATCAACTCTACTTTGAATCGGAAATATCTAGATTCGCCCACACACGGCTGCTATGTAAGCTACCATTTTCATCGTCGGCAACTGGCCTGGGTGGGGGGCAACCTTCAATCATGGACCGGCAAGGCAAAGCTGATCAGAAGCCCTCACCAATGTAGGCAGATTACACTCAACATCTTCAATCCCCAAGCTGGGGATCAGGATACTTTGTTGAACCTGGAAATCTTTCCCGACATGACCCTTGAGACCCTCCGCGAATCCGTTCATGCCGACACGAACATTCCCGCCTCTTCGCTTCACATTTACCACAATGGCCGCCTACTCACAGACGACACCAAAACGATAGAGCAGCTCGAAATCCCCAATGGTGGTATGCTAGCTGTCCACGTCAGACATCTCAGAGGCAACAACACAGGTGCCAGTGAGCCCGCTGCTCAAACAACACCACCTGTCCAGCCCCCACGGCCCCAGGGCAGCGGTGGTAATGACCCCGAGTTGATTCGCCTGCAAATCCTGGGCAATCCGCCCGCAAGGGAGCAGCTGCAAAGGCACAATCCAGAGCTTGCTGCCGCTGTAGATGACCCTGTACGCTTCTCCCAAATCCTTCAGAACAGCCAAGATAGGGAACGTCGAGAGCGAGAGGAGAGACAGCGGGAGATTGAGAGATTGAACCAGGATCCGTTTGATATCGAAAATCAGAGAAAAATCGAGGACATGATCCGCCAAGAACGAGTGATGGAGAATTTACAGAGTGCCATGGAACACAACCCTGAAGGTATGCCCAGTGTCGTTCAGTCAACTACACCTGAACTGTCTGTCATGGTGGATGCTAACCGAGTTTCTAGTTTTTGGTCGTGTACATTTGCTATACATTAATGTCGAAGTGAACGGGCACAAGGTGAAAGCTTTGGTAGACTCCGGTGCACAAGCTACTATCATGTCTCCAGCATACGCCGAAGCATGCGGCATCATGCGACTTATTGACACAAGGTTCGCTGGTGTAGCCCGCGGCGTCGGCACCGCCAAGATTCTTGGACGAGTCCACTCGGCCCAGATCAGAGTTGGCAACCTGTTTCTTCCGTGTAGCTTCACTGTCATGGAGGGAAAGACAACGCATTTGCTCCTTGGCTTGGACATGTTGAAGAGATATCAAGCCAAGATCGACCTCGTTAAGGATAGACTTATTATCCAAGGAGAGGAAGTACCATTCTTAGGCGAGGCTGACATTCCCAAGGATGAAGAGCCAGTCGAGCAAGAACCTACTATTCCGGGCCCTGCCGGAACCACAATTGGTCAAGAGACCGGTGCGGTTCTGCCGCCGCAGCAAACATCAACCCAAGCTTCGTCAGCTTCAGCGCAGTCAACACAGCCCCCGAGGAGTAACCCATCCGCCTCAGCGCCTTCCGCGGCGGCATCTACTTCCACGCCAAACGTTACTGCGACACATGTGGAAAGCTTAATAGCCATGGGGGCCACACGAGAGCAGGCGATCCAAGCACTGCAGGCAGCAGAAGATAACGTCGATGTAGCAGCAGGTCTGATTTTCTTTTAGACGAGTTGGAGCAGGGTTGTCCTCTTGGCCTTATAACGAAAGCTTGGAACACGAATCCCATGAATAATGATTTCGATGTAGAACTTGCTTATGATCCGGCTCATGATTTTGCAGAGGCGCATTTAATAAGCATCCTTGGAGACGGGGCTCTGAAGGCGACTCAACTGTGCGAATTAAGGAGAATAGACAGCAGGAACACATGATGAATGACGTTATCTAGTAGTATTTGAAGCCACGAAACAGGCAACCAAAACCTTCCTTCAAACTGTGTGACATAACAAGGCCAAAGTCCGTAATCGCTGCTCTGTTACCGAATCTTATACACGCAAGGTTTTAAAATTGACGCTTCGTCCTCGGCGTTTTCTGCATGCTCGTCTTCATCCCACTTTGGCGCAAAGCCCTTCCTTTTCTTATGCGCGCCCGCCATTTTGGACGCATCCTCGGCCTTGGCCCCCTTGCCCTTGGTCGGCGAGGCGCCCTTTATGAAATGCATCTTGACAAACATCCTGTTGCTCAGGTCGACTGCCTCCGCCCTTTCGCCCTGTAGCACGAACCCTCTCTTCTTGAGCACCTCGATAAACGCAGTGACGTCTGTCTCACGGCGTCTATCCTCCAGTCCGTCCACCTCAACGGCCAGATCCTCTCCGTGGAGAACGTCTGTCTCGGCGTCCCTTGCCGCCTTGACCTTTTTACTAAGCGCCGCGTTGTTCTTCTTGCGGTTCCCAACAGAGTGCTCTACCACGGTATTCTTGCGAGCAGGTCCGAAGCGGGACTTGATTTCGGCAACCCACAGCTCCCCCTTCCAGTGGAGGATGCGGTACGCCTCCTCGACAAAGTCGATCCAGTTGGTGCCCATCAGCGCCAGGCAGAAAATAGCCACGTTGACCGACCCGTCCTCCAGCGGCAGGTTGGCGATGTCCGCCCTGGTAACCAGCGCACTGGGCGACTGTAAATCGAAGCTCTTGATATCCAGCCGCAGCTTCGACCTGTCGCCCTGCAGCGACTCGGCGAGGCGGGCGTCGCCGCAGCCCAGATCCGCAATGGTGCATGTGCCCATGGTCCGAGGGAGAGCCATCTTGTTCCGCTGGGAGGGCGGGGGTCCCGGCCTTCCCTTGACTGGGGGCTTGGCCCTCGCCCTGCTGCGAATGTCGGACAGGAAGCTGTCGACGGGGTTCTCGGGCCACACTTTGACCTGTCGACGGAAACCTTCGTGGTACTC